CTTATTATCACAGAAGACAATCATGGGTGGAATATGGCTTAACCCAAGGTCATGAAAAAGTCTCTTAAGCCAAATTAGTTCACTAGTTAGAGCAGCCATGGAACGGTATTCTACTTTTGTTGAAGACTTTGAGATTGTAGGTTGCTTACGAGTCTTCCAAGAAATAGGTGAAGAGCCCAACATAGTGAAGTAACCTATTGTTGACCGCCTAGTGACAGGACATCCTGCCTAGTTTGAATCACAGTAACCACAAATGACTAGGTCATTGTTGGTAGGGAGAGAGATACCATGATCTGGTGTGGAGTTTAAATATCTAAGAACATGAATTGCAGCATCATAGTGGGCTTGTTTAGGCTTGCTCATGAACTGGCTGAGGACATGTACTGAATATGTGAGTTCAGGTCTGGTAATTGTTAAAGAGATCAACCGTTTATCCAGTCTTCGATATCTATTTGGGTGTGGAAATAGAGGTCCTTCCGCAAGAGCTAGCTGTTGTTGTTGAAGCATAGGAAAAGAACTAGGATGACACCCAAGCATGCCTGTCTCAGATAAGATGTCCAGAGTGTATTTCCTTTGGCAAAGAAAGATACCGTCTGGAGACCTGGTGGTCTCAATGCCAAGGAAGTACCGAAGTGCTCCAAAGTCTTTAATGTGGAAACAATTACTGAGATAATTTTTTAGTCCAGTTATGCGATTGGAATCATTTTTGACAATGATTATATCATTGACATGTACAAGAACTTCCAAGAAACTATTTGGTTGAGAAGAAACAAACAATGTGCAATCAGCTGTAGACTAAAGAAATCCATGATGCTTTAATGTTGTGGCCAATGTGTCAAACTAGTTGCATGACGCTTGTTTGAATCCATAGATTGATTTTTGAAGACGACAAACTCGTGTGTCACCCGTTGGTAGGAAACCTGGAAGTGGCACCATGTAAACTTTTTCTCGTAAGTCACCATGCAAAAAGGCATTAATTACGTCCATTTGGTGAAAATCCCAATGACGGGCTGCAGCCAAGGCTAAGAGGCATCTCACTATAACCAACTTTGCCACAAGAGCATAGGTTTCATTGTAATCAACTCCAGGAGTTTGGGTATAACCTTTGGCAACTAATCTGGCTTTGTAACGATCAATTGTCCCATCAGGTTTGAGTTTGAGCTTATATACCCACTTGCAACCCATTGGGGATTTTCCCGATGGTAAGGAAGTTAAACTCTAAGTACCATTCCAGGTAAGAGCTGTTAATTCATATTCCATGGCTTGTTGCCAGTTGGGATGTGCAGCGGCTTCAGCATAGCTTCGTGGTTCCATGGTGTTTAACAAGGCGGATGAATGGGTTGATGGTGAAGGCCCAATAAAATGTGATATGGGATGTTGTGTGCTGGGGTTTGGTTGACCATTGGAATGTAAGGTGGGACAAATAAACTCTTGGAATTGCTTGGGAGGTCGAATGGGGTGACTGGACCGACGTATAGGTGGAGTGAGAGTGATGTTAGGTTCTACTTCAGACCCATTGATGACTGGGGAAGGCTCATCATGGGTTGTAGCGGGCTAATGATTATGGGTTGCAATGGTATCAACAGAAGTATCATCGGTTATAGGAAGTGGTACCACTGGTTAATCAAAAGTCTATGAGGTGTTCGGGGTGTTTAAGAAGGGAAATTGATCCTCATAGAAACAAACATCCCATGAAACAAAAAACTCCATATTATCAAGGTTGAACAGCCGGTACCCTTTTTGTCCTTGTGAGTAGCCCTTGAAAACACAACGATGGGCCCGCACAACAAATTTATCATGGGGTTTGCTTTGCACTCAGGCATAACATAAGCAACCGAACACCCTCAAGTGGTTATATGTAGGAGGCTTACCATGCAACATTTCATAATGGGATTTTCCATGCAACTACGGTGTAGGCAAGTAATTTATTAATAAGGTGGCAGTAAACACACATTCGCCCAAAAATTGTATTGGAAGCCCAGCTTGGAACCGCAAGGCACGTGCCATTTCAAGTAAATGGTGGTGTTTCCGCTCCACTACCCCATTCTGTTGAGGGGTGTCAACGCATGTTCGCAGATGAAGAATGCCATTGTGCTGAAAATATGTCTGAATGGATTCAGACAATAACTCAAGCCCATTATCGGATTTGATTGTCTAAACCGAGGTGTGAAATTGAGTCTTTACCATTTCACAAAACATAATGAGAAACTATAGTGTCTGACTTACGTATTATCAAATAGACCCAAGTGGCTCGACTATAGTCATCTACAATAGAGAGAAAATAACGAGCTCCAGAGTGGGATGGCACCCGGTAACCTCCCCAAATATCACAATGAATAATTTGGAAAGGTGTGGTGCTTTTATTATATCTAAGTGGAAATGACAATCTTGTAAGCTTAGCATGATTACACGCATCACAACATACAGTAGTTACAAGTGGGGAAACATGGAGTTCTTGAATTAATGATAGTCAATCATAGGCAGCATGTCCTAACCTATAATGCCACAATTGAGAATTAAGATTAGTTAAACTAATATGTAAGGCTGTAGAGTTTGGTAGCCCAGTAAAGCGGTAGTGACCATCCCCTATTTCAACCACTCCAATCGGCTTCTTGGTGGTCAGGTCTTATATGACACAGAATGTGAAAAAAAAAAACAAAGCCACACAATTCAGTTGATTAGTGAGTTTGCTCACAGATACCAGATTGCAATTAAAATCTGGAACAAGGAGAGCATTCTCTAGACGGATATGACCAATAATCTTGACAGATCCTTGAGATTGTACAGGCACTATAGTGCCATTGGGTAGATAGACTAGTTTATGGACATTGGTTGATTGTGTATCAAGAGCCATACCGGACTGTGCACCAATCATATGGTTTGAGGCTCTTGTATCCAGAATCCAACTAGAAGAATGTAAAAGTTGACAAGCATGAGACTTACCAGCATAATTTGCTGTAATAGTATGTTTTTCTGAGTTCAAAAGATCCATCAGTTGTTGATATTGATCAAGACCTAAACCAGCAATTGGAGAAACTAAGTTTGAATGTTCAGTTGTTTGTTTGAGTCACATTCTTTGARGAATTCTTGTCTGTTAACTTGTTAGATGCAGATTTCCTTTTGTCTACCCAACCTGGTGGGTAACCTAGGATTTCATAGCACCGGTCCTTCGTGTGTCCATTGCACTTGCAGTGGTCACATCTGAATTTTGGATGGACAGATTTATCTTGGGGCTTCGATGATGTAGCGTTCACTTGCATTGCCGTTGTTTCGACAACAAGTACTCGTTGAGACGAGAGAGTTTGGTGGCGTTCTTCTTGCATGATCAGTGCGTAAATGCGACTGACATTAGGCAAGGGATCAAGACTGAGGATGTGGGAGTGAACAATGTTAAAATTCTCACTCAATCCCATCAAGAACTGATACACTTTCTCCTTTTCACGTTCAACAACAAATTCTTTTGCTGCGCCTCCACATGAGCATGTTGGGATTGAATTATAGGTTGCTAATTCATCCCATAAGGCTTTGAACTTCATGAAGTAAGCTGAAACAGAGAGATTCTCCTGTCGAAGCAGTGCTAAGTCTCTCTTAAGTTGAAAGATCCGAGGGGCATTTTCTTGTGAGAATCGCTCTTCCAGATCATGCCAAATCTCATGAGCAGAATCAACATGTGCCACACTTTCGTGTAATTCACGGGATAGGGAGTTGAAGATCCAAGAAATAACCATGGAATTGCACTTATTTCAGGCCAGTTCTTGAGCAGATGACTTTTTTGGTCTCATGATTGTCCAGTCCAAAAAACAAAGCTTGTTCTTGGCATACAATGCATTTCGCATTGCTCTGTTCCAGGTGGAGTAGTTTTCTCCATTTAATGGACAGGAAACTAAGATCACACCTGGATTATTTAAGGGATGCAGAAAGGCAGGAGAGGTTGGATCAGAGGTAGCATCCGAACCACCAGTTGTAGCACAGGCAGCCATTAATTCCGACGATTTGCAGATATAGAAAAGGGATGGATTGAGAACCTGAGGAGCTCTATACCCTGAAAAATATATCGGAAGCTTTTATTAATCTTGATATGATCAGGTATTTATAATGTATTACAGAAGACTGAAGTTAAGTTACAATAGAAATGTACACGTGGATAATAGATTCTGTAATAAATGATATGACAAAAAACCGAAAGGATCAAAGCTTTTCTCAGTATGAAGGAAACCAATAGGGTTTTGAGTGTGAAAGCCATTATATGGCTCAAATCCAAGTGAAGTTCCTACGGAATCCTACTTCTGAGAGAAATTGTCCATGAAATCCCCCCAATTGTCATCAACTCTTGTGTTTTGACTGAAGCCGAGTGATTGATTAGAGGGCGACACGAACTTGAAGTCTCCGAAACCCTCATCATCGTCGTCCTCTATCTGCCCTCTCTCTCTCTGAACAATGATGAATCAAAGACAACTTTGACTTGTCTTATGTTTTACCGTGAGGAGACTGATTGGTAGAAAAGATTTGTGGGGTTGGATCTAGAGCTGTAAGGTTGGTTCTTGGGTCTCCTGAATCTAATATGCTATGCTATTGTCGGGTTTTCTGCAACAACGACCACCATAAATGAAGTAGGAGAGAGATTGGAGAAGAGTGAAGAGTGTCCGATTAGTTTGTATGAGAGAGAATATAGGGACTTAGGGAGGCTCAAGGAGAAAGAAGATGAGCGTTGTTTTTACCTTTTTTTTTTATACTTTTTAAAAAAATTACCATATTTTAAAAATTATATTAAAAAGATTATTTTTATTGATAGGAAAATCTATGATATGAAAAGAATTTTGACCAATCAAAACCCATCCATAAATTTTAATAAATAGCACCTAATTTACTATCATGTTTATGATTCTACTTTATTGGTCAGTTGTTTTCGGATATCTTATCTTTTCCATAGTCGAATGATGAATCATACTATATAATTAAAAAAAAAACATGTTTTACAAATCAATTTATCAAAAAACATGTTTTACAAACCAAAAATTTAAGAACAAGGTTTTATTAATTTCATTTTCCCATTTAAACACGTTCCCTTTAACAGAGAGCGCAAGTCTTCGTTCTAAATCTTCTATCTGTTCCTACTCGCTTCGTCTTCTTTCTAAAAATGGCTATTAAACCATCCTTGTCACTCGGTAGAAGAATATGTCATCGTCTCGTTCAAAATCCGCGCCCCAATACTTCTTCAACCTTCTTTAATGAAATATGTACAATTTCACCTTCTGATTCATCGAGTACATGGTTCAGCTTCAGCTCCTTTCAGTTTCAGAGGTTGTTCTCCCAAATAATAGGGTCAGGTCCAACTGCTTTACCAGATGATGTAAATGAGATATGCCGGGTGTTGAGTGATTTCCGTTGCATTCACCATGACCTTGAATCTGCACTTGAACGTTTCTCAGGCAAGATTTCTACTAATTTGGTTGAACAGGTGTTGAAAAGGTGTAAAAATCTAGGGATTTCTGCTCACAGGTTCTTTCTCTGGGCCCGAAAGTTGCCGGGTTTCAGTCATAGCAGGGAAAGCTACCATATTATAGTAGATATCCTTGGTTGCAGCAAGCAATTTCCTCTGATATGGGATTTTCTTTCTGAGATGAAAGATAGTGGGGATTATGAAATCAGGCCGGAAATTTTCTGGGTTATCTTTCGGGCTTATTGCAAAGCTGATTTACCCTTGGATGCCATTAGAGCTTACAAGAAAATGGATGGTTTTGGTCCTAAACCGAGCATTTCTGATTTGGATCAGCTTCTTTATATGCTTTGTAAAAAGAAGCACGTTAAGCATGCCCGGGATTTCTTTGATAGGGTTAAATTTGAAATCCCACCCAGTCCAAAATCTTATAGCATCCTTATGAAGGGGTGGGCTGACATTGGTGATTCAGTGGAAGCACAAAACCTGTTTGATGAAATGCTTAAAAGAGGATGTTCTATAGATGTAGTTGCTTACAACACCCTCTTAGAGTCTTTATGTCGAGCAGGGAAAACAGATGAAGCCTATAAGCTATTTCGTGAGATGGGCTCTCACAACCTCAAGGCTGATGCATGTACCTACTCCATCTTCATTCGTGCTGCTTGTGAAGCAAATGATATCCATTCAGCTTTGAGAATCCTTGATAGAATGAAAAGGTATAGCTTGGTGCCAAATGTATACACTTACAACAGCATTATCAGACTATTCTGTAAAAATGGAAAGGTGGACGATGCTTACCTCTTACTAGATGAAATGGTTGACAGAGGCGTTAGTCCAGACGCGTGGAGTTACAATGCAATCCAATCTGTCCATTGTGATAATTCTGAAGTCAATAAGGCTCTTAGGCTTATCCAGAGAATGGAGAAGGATTTTTGCATGCCAGATCGGCATACTTACAATATGGTACTTAAGATGTTGATAAGGGTAGGAAGAGTTGACCGGGCAATAGATATTTGGGAAGGTATGGGAGAAAAGGGCTTCTATCCTTCTGTTTCAACATATTCTGTTATGATTCATGGTCTTTGTAAGAAGAAGGGTGGTCTTGAGGAGGCATGCAAATATTTTGAGATGATGATTGATGAAGGAATACCACCATATTCTTCCACCTGTGAATTGTTGAGGGATCGTCTATCACAGCTGGGGTTTTGGGAGAAGACACATATACTAGCAGATAAGATGCAACAAAGCACATCATGTTCAATTAAAGAACTATCGAACACAATGAGAGGTGGTAAAGCCCAAGTGCGATAGAGAAGCAAGAAAGAAAACTCGGAAGAAATAGAATGCTCTGAGCTATGAAGATTGTAGATGGATTTACAGTCTTTTGTCTGTGTTCTGAGTAAATTTTATTCTAAGAGCTCAACATAAGTTAGGCGCATTGTATATCTGTACTGTGTTCCTTATAAAACAAAGTTATACTGATAGAGGCTAGGACTTCTCCCTTAAAATCATTCAAGGCTTCTATAGCAAATTATATATTACATTCTGGTGAGCTGAAATCAGGTATTTTAAAGGCCAAAACTTATAGTTGGTTTCAGTCTTTCATAACACAAGTCACAACTACTTGTTGAGTCCTTACTACAATCCCCACCCTAGTAATGCTATCTAACTGGTTGGTTCTTATTTCACACCTGTGGTCTGTCAGACTGTCACTGTGGGACATGTTACAATGTATGCTCCATTGTCATGCCATTACATGAGTCGAAAGTCAAAGTGGTATGAAAAGCAACCCAAAGGCAAGTCAAGTAGGTCTTCACTCTCCAACTCCTGTCCAGCCAAACGAGAGATATTATTGCCTTGTAGGAGGTTTAGTTCTGCACTGTGCAATGAATGTAACCCATCGAGCTTTTGGAGAAAAAATGATTCCTTTGTGGGTCCTTGCTTGAAAAACTCATTTTCATTTCTATATTGCAAATCATATCTCAAATTTGAAAGAGAATCCTGTATGGCTGTATCTCTAGATTGTTGCCCTGATGAGTGTTGTTTAGTGCTGTTAAGCCTCAATATGGTTAAATGCTGGTCCGGTTAGCCTTCATTTATCAAAATATAGCAAAACATCTATATCTATACTGCTATAAAAAGTGCACGTAAGTGTCCCTGGCTCCTGGACTTTTCATTAGACATGAAATGCCCCATCTTTTGTGGAGTTTTCTCTCTTCTTTTTTGGCAAGTAGTATTGTAGTAGTACTTAAGATTCATCATGAAGGAACCATCAAAAAGAGGTTCTTGTGAACCTGGCAAGAATTGAAATCAAATCTGTCCACCTTCTTCTAGTAACAGAAAAAAAAATTGTCCACCTACCAATTAGTGAAAAGTTCACTCTTTTGCTCATCTTTTATTGGCAAATACTAATACTTCATTTTATTCTCTGTTTATCTTTTTTGGCACTAGAAAGAAGGCAATCCACCTGTCATATTCCTCTGTAATGTTTGAATAGTTTGGAGAGATATCACACCTTGATTATTATGGAAAAACAATAAAAAAAAGGATTCATGCGAATCTGTGTAGATTCGCAATCAAATTCAGCAGTAAAGCATTAGCCTTAACCATTTCACTCTCTTGTTTTGAGTGTAGACGTGCTTGGTTGTTTGGCTGAAACGGTTCCAGAAGATTTCTCCATGATTGAAAACGCTATTTGTGCAGTAAAGAAGAGCAGCACTGGAGATGCTTATAAATCATTTTCCAAGCACCAATCTTCGTACACAGCCACAGCAACAAGGTAGAAGAAGAGAAATCATCTTCACAGTTTCCTGGTTACAGCATTATGCCGCTAATCTAACTTCATCTTCTGAGGTGAGAACTCAGTAATGTACTCTTTTGTGGATGGATTTCGGTTAGAACATATCGTGTGGTTACATGTTCTCTTTATCTTGATGTGGTTTATTTCATCTACAATGCTTTTGTGATCTATTGCATTTTTTAGGAATGCAACTTAGGCTGAATTAGCCCAAACTTCATTTGAAAAAGACGATGGGTTGTGTTTGATAGATAATGAAGCAATAAGAAGCCAAACCCATATTATACAAATGAAGAGTTTATAGAGTGAAAATCTCATTGCACTCCCTTGTGAAACTTTCTGATGATTAATAAGAAAAATCTCAGACTTTTTTCACAGGATAATAGGATATTATGTTATATTTTTTCTCAGTAAAAAGGAGTTCCATTGGATGAATAGTATTTTTAAAGAATTTGCAATACCTTGAAAACCAATTTGATCATTTTGTTTTAATTAATTAATTTACAGAAACTATGGCAACATCAAATGAATATTCTATTTCATTCATAAATGTCTTGAATGAATTTAACTTGAGAGTGCACTTCACTGTCAAGAGTTGTAGTTGAGCTGTAGTTACTATTAAGATTGATGAAGACAGTTGGAAGTTCTTTGGAAAATTAGCAACAGAAGGAATCATAACAGGATGCCTCATGTAAAAACAATTAAAAAAATTGTGGAACATTTCAATATAATCATTAAGAATGTTAACTTTGAAGACTTAATATTACCAGTGGAAATGTGATAGACTTGAAAGTCATATTGAGGTTCTGCAGTCGGAAATTTCTAGACTAAAAAATATGCTCATTGAGGTTGTCCCAACAAATGTAGTTGACTAGGATGAATACCCTGAAGAGAAAAGATGCTCATTTGGTGGAAAATAGAGTTCCAATTCTGAATTTGTCAATGCAAGTTGTAGAAGATAGAATCTTCTTAGTTTTAGTATTTTATAATGCCTATTGAGGTACACTTTGTATTCAATGTTCATATTTTTTGAGAAGTTTTACTGTTTGCAATTTCTAAATTTAGTGCAATATCTTACATTGGACAATTTGTATGAGCATCATGTATTTAGTTCTTCAAAAGCCATGTCATAGACCATATTAAAGGTCTCTATTTCCTATGAGAAGCCTCTATTTACTTCATTGCCCCTATTTCTTAGATTGAAAAATAATACTAGATAAGGAGCAAATACTTCTTCAAAGGCTATTGCAAATGTACACTAACATGGACGATGCTTAGATAGGGAAGGACTCATACTTGAGGCTCTGAATTGCTTAGAGGGAAAGACTCATCAGCTTAATGTTGTATGCACAAACTAATCTTATACTCTTTCTTTAATCTTCATGAGAATCATGGACACTATCAGTTTAATCAGTTGGGCATCATACTAACCATGGGTTAAACTCAATATGGTCACTATCATCGGTAATTGCAGGTAGTTTCAGTTTGAAAATTGGTGGGATATCTCTGTTTTTGTTGAAAATTACAAGTCTGTCCTCAACCATCCATTTCAAATAGGATTAAGGATTTGTGATCATTATTATGATCTGTCCTATCCATACTACTTTGTGAAAGGTGAACATAACTAGAAGAGTTCCCTATCTATTGTGGGGTAAATATATATATATATCTTTTTATACAGACACACTAGCTGCCTGGGGTGCAGCATTAAGCAATAAGCAAAAAGATAAATGCTTGTATCGCTAATGGAAATGGTTCTTACACGCACCATGTTTTGTTCTTATGACTTTGACTTTCATCATTCAGGACTTTCACGTCAAGCAATATCCATGAACCTTCATCAAGTAGTTGGCATTTACTTTGAACAAACTATGACAAACAGAGATAGCCTAAAGTGATTGAGGATTTGATATATTATTCTCAATGTTGTACTTTTCATTGTTTTCTTTTTGTGTTGATTTATGGCATTTTTCCTGTACACTATATCATACGTAGTAATGTAGCACGATCTGGTCGCTCCCTGCTGGAAGGCAGTTTGGACATCGGACTGCTACGTGGCCGGGTCAAACTGCAAGGAAGAGAGATCAGAGGTCCCAGGGTATTTTACCCAGCATGGGCACTCCGATGCTTAAGTTAGCGTAGGAGATTTGTGGAGAGCTGATAGCTTGAGAATACTAGTAAGAGAGAGTTAAACCGCACGTACATTGCAAGACTGGAGGCGATGGTTTTATATAGGTGAGCTATCTTAGGCCTCACAAAATGTGTTTGAGATCACCGGTCTGTCTAATCCGGAGTTCGTTCTACACCTGAAGATGGACTCCGTGTAAGCTAATAAGGCTTATCTAGGTCCGTTCGATTTGGGTGGGACAGAGATAAGATCCATTGGCGTGCGGTGTGATCTTGAGGAGATCGGAAACAACTAGCTCGCTTCTGGAATGAGGCTACGTGGCACCTTGGAAGGTCGGTGATTGTGGCGAGCTGCTCGGGGCCCGATCTTAGCTAAGTGACCCGAGGTGACTGAGGTGACTTGGACTGTTGAGGTGTCCAAGGATGCTGAAGTGTCGTCGAATCAATGAATCGCTCCATGTGTCATCATGTAACTGGTTGGGCCAAATTATCCCTCATCACATAGAAATAAAACTTTATGTTATTCATGTGTAATCATCTTCTCCACTAATTTCCCAATTATTCAGTTTTGAGTTTTATTATCTTGAAGGATCATTTTCTCATTAAATTATATTCATGTCATATGCACAAAATATCAGAGTCAGACGCCTGCACCTAATTGTTAATAATTACCAAGGGTTGGAGTCTAGAGCCCCTTAGAACAGTATCTGAGATTTTGTTTGATTATGACTTTTTTAATCTTTTTATTCTGTAAAAGCGAGAATCTCTATTCTGCAAATGGATCTGCTATAAGGCCAATTTTAATGGGGTTGCCCATCCCCCATTCCTTCAACCCCCAATCCTAATGCAGCGGGATTTGATCCCTGTCTCAGCTACAATGAATCAGAGATCTTACCAATTAAGCCACCACCAGCTGGTCTTTTTTAGCCAATTACCCATCATCTTTAACAATATAATTCAATCATTTGTAGGCAACTTAATTTTTGATGAAAACAATTAGCATGGATATCTTAGATTTAGATTAATTATGGTATAATGCATGGAATGACTGCAATAAGAAAATTAACATCACAACAAGAGGAGCATACTGTGATAATGTAAATGACACGACACAACAAAATTCAAAACTGAAACAATGTCACCATAACCCATGGATTAAAACTTCTCATTCATGCATACATCAGAATGAACATATTGGATGACATTAGAAAGGCTATAATTACATTGTTTGAAGCAACCTAAGTACATAAGTGGATGCCCAATTGCTGAATTGGTCAAACTTCATAGATAGGTAAAAATTGCAAATAAAACATGTAATACCTAGATTATAAAATTTATGTATACATGCAACAATTCATAAAAAACATGCAACAATCACAAGGTATCTGAGTTGACAAGAAAAGCAACTTGACACGCAACTTTGACAAAGTTGTAACGACTGATATACTGAAACTTGACAATTTACCACCAACTTGGATAGAAGATATAGACTTAATGAAGGAGAGCAAAATGAAGATCAATAGATGATGACCTTAGTAGCCTGTTTTTATGTGTTTAGACTTTCTTTATCTAAACGTGTACATTTCTAAGCTTAAAAGTTCTAAGAAATTTCAATTA